AGATCAAAGGTCACATATTAATGCTGCCATGGGCCTACCACACCATGGGGTACTAGGGCAAAAGAACAGTAAGAGGTTTTTTAAAAAAAACAAAGTAATCCAACCCCAAACCCAGCATTCCAACATAGGGGACAAGACCAGCAAGAAGCAAATCCAGGTCCCCTGGGGCATTCTCCACACTACCTCCCTCATCCTGAAGGAGGCAATTTAACTTTACAACTTTCAAGCAACTTCCCATTAAAGTGGTTTCAACTTCAGATTTATTGCATTTTCCAAGGTTACCTCATTCGGGCTGTGCATAATCCAGAGGGACTCAAGGGGCCACACTGTAAACTGTTACAATAAATATTAACGAATATCGTGCCTGATAAAACCTGCAATCTGCAGACACACACATGCACCCACACAAAAAGGGACTTTTCACCTTATATGGTTACTTAAAAAAACCAACTCTTTTTACATTCCACTTTGTTGGTCTGCCAAACACGCAGAGTACATCTACTTTAAAAACACCAATTAAAAATATTAACAACACAAAAATATATAAACGTGGTTCAGAGCCAAGGGCACATAAATTGACATGGATTCAGACAGTAAGCAAACATAAAATAAGAAACAGAAACGACTACATCATCCAAAAGGAAGCATGAACAATAGCCCTAAATGTGAAAGTGATCTTCCCCTCCCCCCTTCCAGTTCCTTAATTCCTCCACCTCTGAGGGCACGCTAGTGATTAGGAAGCAGGCAAAATGATTGAAACAGAGAGGGATAGAGGAAAGGGCCCAAGAATGATCTGGGAAAGATCTGCAGGAGATGGGAGGAGTGGGAGGCAGTCTCATTTCACACTGTAACTTGGGGTAGCCACAGGGCTTTTATATTCCTTACCAGAAATGCCACATCCACAGGTGTCCAAATATCTCAAATACCTGGGCTGCATTACTGAGGAGCAGCTGTGGAAAGAGGGCTGGGCTGGGAGTTATAGTCTTTGGATTGACATTATTATCATTATTATTATTATTATTATTATTATTATCATCATCATCATCATCTAGGTCCTGGCACTTAACTTCTCCGAGACTTAGTTTCCTCAATCTATAAAATGGGGATCCTAAAACCTACCTCTATAGCATTACTGAGAGGAATAACTAAAACAAGGTGTGCAAAAGTGACTATCTAGCTAGAAAAACACACAGAAAATCTCAATGATTTTGTTTGGAGAGAAAAGAACTGCTTGCCTTGGTACCTAGCAGGCTGAGTTATCACTATTTTTCTGAAGTTGAATTTAGCCCAGGCTGTGGGGCAGCCCATCAGTAATAACGAGAGGCATGACGCTGTGCACACTGTAAGAAATTAGTGTATAAAAGAAGGAGGGAGGCAGGAAAAAATGAAAGATGAAAGAACTAGGGATAATACCAACATTCTTTCTCCAAGAGGCACAGACTTGTTGTACCCTCCATGCCATTCCTTTGCACCTCTTACCTTATTCCTACCATAGTAAATGAGCTTGGGGTCTCAGCCAGGGTCCCATGCTCATAATCACATTGCTGGGTAATTCTAAAAAAAATTACATTAGTACAATACTTTCCATTAATTGTTCTCTACACAATTATCCCATATCCTCTGGAAGCTGCTTTGATAATTCATTGGAGACCCTCTATTGCTCTATCTTTGGAGTCTATTAAAAATAAAGTGTCTTTATTACAACTAATTTTGTTTCTAATTTTTCCAAGATCTCTTTATGGGATGTAGCATTTTGGTCAATGGATTACTAAATTCAACTTGTCAGTCCACAAAAAAAAAAAAAAAAAATTATACCTGGAAAACCAAGATTCAGTAAATCCAGAGAACTGATGCAACCCATAGAATGAATTAGAACCAGATAAGAACGAAATAAACTAATTCTTCTTCATTCTTTTTATATTTATACAGAACTTAGAATATTTAAAGTTTGAGGCAAATGCAAACTGCTTGAATATTTATACAAGTGTGTGTGTGTGTGTGTGTGTGTGTGTGTGTGTGTATTTAAAGTAGGCTTCATGCCCAGCATGGAGACCAATGTGGGGCTTGAACTCATGACCCTGAGATCAAGACGTGAGCTGAGATCAATAGTTGGGACACTCAACTGACTAAGCCACCCAGATGCCCCTATATGATAATATTTTTTAAAACATTATGACTCATCATAAAAGCTCAGTAATCCAAGCTCATTATCCCCACCTTTCAGCTAAAAAAAAGACTTGTTTAGAAACATCTGATGTTTCTACCTTAAGCATAAAGTAAAAACCTCTTAGGAAGCTAGATGAATCCCAGTATAGCTCTCTCTCTAGTTCATACTGATGTCTTCCCCATCCCTTCTCTGCCTCCTTTATAACATCACAATCCTCACTACAACCTCAAGCTCTAGACCCACATTCTGTTCTGCAGGTCTCCAAACAGGCTTTGCTGGTTCATGCCTCTATTCCTCACTATACCCACTCTGCCCCCAGCTCTCTTTCTGCCCTGCATGAACACTGAGATTTGAATCAACCTTCACTTCAAGTATTTTCTGAAATGATACGCTTACTCATTGTTTGCCACTTATTTCCTGGGACTCCTCCTACTGTATGGTACATACAGCATGGCACAATTCTTCTTGTTTCCCAAACATGTCCTTTCTCTGTAAGTTCTGTGAAAGGTAGGATCAAGTCCTATGCCAGCACTTTTCCTCATGGGCCTCCGTAACATACCACTTCTTCATGGTCACTGACAAGCCCTAGTTCTAATCTTCATGGCTCTGCTCAAGTAGGGGTAAGTAAAATGGACTTTGGGTAGCTGATTACTTTCCCCTTCTCTTACTATTCCTTAAATTCAAATTAAACATTCTTTATTCTTTTTTTTTTTTTTTAAAGCCAAATTCACAGAGTAGGGGCAAACCAGATCAAGGGGGCAAATGGCTCAGTTTTACAAAGGAAGACTGACTATAGCAGCTTAACTTCCAGACTTAGGGTGGAACCACTCTGCAGATGTTCACAGAAGATCCCAGAAGGGGGAAAATCCCAATTATATACAGTACTGAAGAAGTGATTAAAAACACTGCTTTGTTCCTTTAAAGACTTCTAATATTACCACACAGAAACATAATTAGAATCCTGTATACATACGTAAATAGTAAATTTTGTGTTAGCATTTCAAAAAAAACTGTCATAACCATTTGTGAAAAACCAGAACATTCTGGCTCCAAGTCTTGATTTGGTTGGTCTTTCTTCAACTAGATACTTTTATTAGTGCTTAGAATGTGCGGAAATCAGACCTTTTAAGAATAGGCTGCTGCATACAATACATGTGGTTCATTCACTACTTTTACTATTTTCTGTGTTTTCTCACTGGCTTGGCCTTTTGCTTGTACCAACATCAAACTGCCAAATCAGAATGCCCTGATGAATGTTTTCAAATCACTCAGCTGCTTTATACAGCATCTTTTGTATACCATGTAAAAATAAACTTAACAAATATAAACACAAGTATTTTTATTCTTACGTAGGGCAGTATGTTAGGAAGGGAGTAGGGACTGGAAAATGGCACCAAGATTTCTAGCCTGGATAGCTGGGAAAAAGATGGAATTCTTAAATCCATGGCCAGGAACATGAAAACCAAGAAGTTCCTAAAATTGGAAATTAGGAAACCAATGGCGAGGGCAGACGCTGAAGTACAAACAGGGGACAGGAAGTTAAAAGACTAACAGTATGGGATCCCTGGGGGGGCCCAGTTGGTTAAGTGTTCGATTCTTGGTTTCGACTCAGATTATGATCTCACGGTGTCATGAGTATGAGCCCCACGTCGGGCTCTGTGCTAGCAGCAAGGAGCCTGCCTAGGATTCTGTCTCCTCTCTCTCTCTGCCCCTCCCCCACTCGCACTATCTCTCTCAAAATAAATAAACTTAAAAAAAAAAAAAAGACTAACAGTATGAGTTCAGGCAATGTGAACTAGGGAGAGAAACTGGCAATTAGTGGGGAAAGTCATGAAAGCAAAGATTTTATTAGAAAATCGGATGTTTGGACATGTTATGAAGTTACAGAAAAAGAATTGGTATGAAAAAGAAACTAAAGACACACAAGGGGAAGGAGGTATCTGATACGGCAAGATTCCACAGAAGATGCCTATGATCTAAAATTCAGATGAGCATAGATCCTTTTAAGACAGGAAGAGAGGAAAATGTTTAAAGAGGGGAGAGGTTTTGAAGGAGGTGGTTTAGGGAGGGGCGGAACAAAGGATGCTAATTTGTGAAGGGCAAGAGGCCTGTGGGAATGGGAACAGCGCAAAAGGTTTAGAATGATGGTTTAGGAGGCAGAGGCAAGGAGGGATGAATGAAACTATTATTGATAGTCAGGGCCCATTCGAAACTGGAAGCTTAAAGATATGTTCTTTACATTGGTCAATCATTTGGTCAATAAACATTTACTAAGCAACTCTGAAATTCTAGGCACTGTGCAGCCCTAGTAAAGGATTCCAGAGTCTAGTCAGGAAGTCGGGCAAGTAAACAAAACATAAGGCAATGCAGCAAGCTCTATGTTAAACGTCTACAATAGGATACACAAGAAAAGGGAGAAGATGCATTTAGTTCAGGGGTGAGAAGGGGTGCAGTTTCCTGGCAAGGGCATTGCTTAAGGTATTAACAGTCCGATCTGTAAACTGAGAATGAAGAACGGGGCAATTGGGAACTCCATGTCGTTCATTACCTTCTAGGCTACACTAATGAGGATCTTGACCATCAGTGCTTGAAGATGTAATTTTTATGATCACCAGTGAGGCAGACACAACTAACAGAGCTCCAGGGGAACATAACAGAAACAAAAAAATGTCAAGGGGTGCCTGGGTGGCTCAGCAGGTTAAGCATCCGACTTCAGCTCAGGTCATGATCTTCCGTTGGTGAGTTTGAGCCCTGACTGGGCTCTCTATGGTCAGCGTGGAGCCCACTTCAGATCCTCTGTCCTGCTTTCTCTGCCCCTCCCCTGCTTGTGCGCACACACGCTCTCTCTCTAAAATAAACATTAAGAAAAATGTGCAGACTTTCAGCCACTGTTTAAAAAAAAAACCTTTCACATACTTTCACAAGCAACACACCTTCTGACTGTGGCATACACCTTGTTAGAGTCTTCAAGTATTTCTGGGAACTATTCTGGCAAACTGGTTTCCTGATTTAAATTGGGCCACTAATTCCAGTTTAATAACGACTTGTATTCTATTATCCCCGGCACCAAGCACAAAACAAATATTTTCTTAGATGCCTTTGCTAATAAAATCAATTATCTGGGCTTTGTCTTCCATCATAAGAATGCTGTAGGTATCTTATCTTTCCATGAGAAATAAATACTCCAAAGGCTTCACTGTTTATACTCCTTGTCATTTACCCTCTGAAAAATCAAAGTCTGCACTCAGCTTTATTAATGGGCTCTGTTTTGTCCTCGGTATGAGCATACCACTTCATTACTGTAGAGAGGATTTGAGTTCTGAGTTAAGATTTAATAGAAAAAATAGCTCTCCATCACTAGAATGGTACAGTCACAGAATTGGAAGGGGCCTTGAAGCTACTTATGTAATAGTTTAGTGATGAAGGACAAATTACCCAGCACTTGATCTAACTTTTTGTTTTAAGTGAGAGAAGACACCCTTTCATTTACTATTGATATATCACAATCTTTGTAAGAGTCAAATAAAATAGTGGAATTGCAGGATTTTTTGTTTTCAAAGTGGTTTTGCCTTAGCTATGCTGTACTAACCACAGCTAACATTTATTGAGGGCTTATGATGTGCCAGGCACTGTGCTAAGCACTTTATAAGGATTATTTCATTTTGTCCTTGCAATAATCCTAACAGATCGGTGCCATTATTCTTCTCATTCTACACTGAGGAAGCTGAGGCTTAGAAAAGTTGATAGCCAAGTAGCCTGTGAGTTCCTGTTCTGATTCTGCCATTTACTAATGTATGGCCACCATCAATAGGTTACTTAATTTCACATGTCTGTGTGTAAACTGAGAACAACTACAATGCCTACCTCACAGGGTAGATGAAAAGATTACATGAGATACTGGCTCAAAGCACATCTGACATGAAATCTGTTTTTTGTTCTTGAGGGTGCCATAAGGTACTAGAAAGAATCTGGGCTGTGGAATCAGATGATGTGGGCAAAAAGCCTGGCTCTAATACTTGTCAGTTATGTGATGTTGGGCATGTACATCACCTCTCTGAGCCTCAATTTCTTCACCTATAAAATATGAAGACCAATACCTACACTCCCAGAGTTAGTGAGATGATTCCTCATAAAGAGCTTACTTAGCTTAAGGCTGCTACAAACCAAGATGCCAGCTCCTATTCCTCTGAGGGTCACATGATAATTCTCTTAAGAGTACAACAAAAATATGGAATGTGAGTTCTAAGAAGACTTCAGGGGAAGACTGTGTGAGAAAGGAGGTAATGGTTAACTAGAGAGCAGGTCAGTGTGGGAGGTGTGCCTTATTGCTTTCTGATTCCAGCATGGGCAGATGATTTGGGCATCAAAAAGACAAGTCCTCATAAAAGGGAATAACTGAACAAGTTAGCCAATTGCTCATGTAGATGGCTGCTTGAGGCAATTCTTGATCATTATTAACTGAATTCCTAGGAAGGCTATCACTGTAGTTTCATATCTGTGAAAAGTACCCTCCTGTAGAAGTGATGAGTAAGAAGTGTTTCAAAGATATTTATAGCACCCTCCCATGAGCAGGACAATGGGGGAGAGCCCTTACAAAGACACTAATAAAGTCCTCTTCAAAGAGGCAGGTTGGATTTATTCTTTTCAATGTGGAGATTTAGGACCTCACTCAAAGGTAAGATGGTCCATGGTGTCATGAAATAGAGACAGGTCAACCTTTCTGGGACACAATTTTTATACAATTTCAATTCAGACAAAACCAGGTAAAAACATCTATACCTCAAATGGCTCTCTCAAAACCTGCACACTAACAACACTACTTCACACCTTAGAACCTCGTTGTGCATGACACATCTAGAAGCAAAAACTAGAAATAGGGTCGGAGGTAGAAGCAGGTAAGAGGAGCAAATAAATGATTAGTTATAATTTGACATAGAGGTAGAAAACAAAATACAAAAAGATATTATTTAGTATCTCAAATGTGTCCATATACACAACATTGAACTTTAAATAGGAAGTATGAATTACTTTAAAATATCCATCAAAATGGTTATAAAAAAAAAAAGTTCTGGCAAAAGAAACACAGCCGTTGCTGGAAAATCTGCCTTCACAGACCACCCAATTCAATAACAACATTGAATTAATACAATGTTATTCTGGATTATTCCCAAATCTACTTACAATTCTATTGCCCATTTTGGGGTATCCTTTTACAGTATTTTCTTTGTCACTTCCCAGCAGAAAAACAATTCAAAATGTAAAGATTAATATTCTCAACCACCTCAACTTTTTCTAATTCAATACATGAGAAAGTTTCTTATGTTTCCTCTTAGGAATATTAATGCACAATTTAATAAAAACCCAAGTGTTTCTTTCTTCTTCACTCAAAATTAGTAAACAGAAAACAAACCAGTAAACATAGACATTATAAGGAACCCTGGGGTGGGAAGAGGAAATGGGCACTTCCTGTATAGTTCTATGTGTTTAAAAGCTATGTATCTATTTCTAGAAGAACCATATCACAGCCTTTTCTAGCACTGTAACTCTAATAAACTGAGAATATAAATGATCCATTCCAAGTGGCTTCTGTTCCAGAATGACCAAGCTAGCCAGCATCCACACAGATTCTGAATTGTTTTTTCAGATCCTGAATTCTTTAAACAGGTTCTAAGAGTTGGAAATTTCTGGGTTGGGGTACAATCAGCAAGAGAAGACCTTTTTTCCTGGATTTGAACAGACAAAATGCTGAAGAACAGTTGAGGAAAATATCTGAATTCCTCAGTGTAATACCATAATTTGCTAATTATAAAAATAATTTAGACACCTAGCTAAGGCTAAAAATAATTCCACTGAAACTGCCCTAGTTTGATTTAGGACACAAATTTTGTAATCAGAGACATCAGATGTCCAAGAGGAGTTGCTCCTTATTCCCCTTATTAAATCAATGAAGAAATCACATCTACAGGAGACTGAGGTCTATGTAACATCACAGCTCTCATAGCCCTTAGTGGTGCCTGTGCCACATCTATCTCTTCTATTTAATTTTTATTCAATAGCTTTAGAGTGGACACTAGGTCTTATGCACAATTATACATACCCCTCTGGAATAAATAATGACTTTGTAAACATCCAGAGGTGTGGGGAATCTCTTTTCCAGATCAATTTATTCCATAGCATCCCTCATGAATGTTTCATTAGCAACATCTAAGGCAAGGGTCAGCAAAATATGGTTGTTTTGGTAAATAAAGTCTTACTGGAACATAGTCATGCCATTCATTTGTGCATTGTTCTATGGATGCTTTCTGGCAAGACAGAGTAAGTAGTCGTGACAGAAACTGAATGGCCCACAAAGCCTAAAAAAATGTACTATCTGGCTCTTTCCAGAAAAAGTTTGCTGGCTCCTGATCTAAGGGCACCTGCTGGATCAATCAGTCAATGAGTATCTACAAATATTGGATATAAACATTATATCCAACATTACATCCATTATATCCATTGAATGTCTAATATCCAACAGCTTTGCAAACACATGAGTTCTGCTGGGTTAAGGCCACATGAATTTTGTCAGGGATACTGGACTAAAACAAAATCTGGCCATTTGATGATGAGACAAACTCAATGAGTGATTGATTTCTTCATTCATTCAACAGACCAATTACGCACTATGTACAAAGTACCAGCAACCTAATTGTGAGCAAACAGAGTATGTATTGCACTCATGGAATTAACAGTCCAGTGGGGGAAGCTGAAATTTTTTAGATAAGACAGATATATGTAAAATTGCTGCTGTACATGGTGTAAAAAAGAGGTCATGGGGTCACCAGAGTGTAAAATGGGGTTATGACCTAGTCAAAAAGGTCAGGGAAGATTTCTCAAGTGTGTGTCTCTAGAGCTGAGGGTTGAGGGCTGAGTGGGAGGAGTTAGCCAAGTAAAGAACAGAGGGAAGAGGTCTAAGCACCAAGCACAACATGGACAAAGGCCCAGGGATGGTTGGAGGCGTGGGTGGGAGTGGGGGTGGGGGTGATAGGGAGAAAGGCAGGTATAAGCTACTAAATGCAAGCCAGCACATTTGGAGCAGAAAGAGTGAAGAAGGGAGAGGTATGAGGTGAAATTCTGAGCCAGATCAAGTAGGGCCTTGAAAGTCCTATTAATAAGTTTTTAGTTTTCTATGGGCAGAGTTACACTTAGTAATAATCCCTGGCTGACAGTCTTTCCCCCTCAGGCCACTATTATCTTCATGATCAGCTCTTTTCATTCTTTTCTTTTAAAATTCTGAGCCAAAACACAGCTTTGTTCTGAATATTCACCTAAGTCTTCATCATTCTATTCAATGAGGGGAAAAAAAAAGGAAAACAAGATAATAAAGAATTTACTTATACATCTTAAACAAATATAGTAAGTCTATTATATCTCAAAACTGGGAAAAATAATAAAATAAGCTAAAAAGCAAAAAACAAAAGGATTTACTAAGCAGCTTTTTGTGATTGTATTAAACATGTATAAAGAGAATTATCTGGGCTGCTTCTATCCCTCTTTCTGTCAGGGGAGGTGGATATCAGGAATCCTGTTAAGGAGGAAGATTCACACAGCTGTGGGCTGTCTCCTGCTGGGAACGGTAAAATTGTAAGCTGTAATTATACTATTTGATGAATAGCATTTTGTAGCTGAAAGGCAAGGGCAGGAACTGGGGGAGACTACTGAAAACAGGAGGTAATAAAGAGAAGTGAGAAAGTCCCAAGAACAAGACACATAAAGCATGGCTAACCACTTCTTAACTGTGTGACCTTGGGCAAGTTACTTAAGTTTTCTGAGTTCTAGTTTTCCCATTTGTAAAAATGAGAATA